TGCAGCCACTAATCTGCTTCCTATCTCTATAGAGGTGCCTATTCTGGACACTTCATGTAAATGGAGTCACATAACGTGGTCTTCTGCCATCGGCTTCCTTCACTTAGCATGTTTTGGGGTTCATTCACGGTGGCAGCACGCATCAGTACCCCCTTCCTTTTATTGCCAAACAATATTCATTTGTATGGAAGGAACATTTATTTTTACAAAGCTCCTGGGTAGCATTCCCCACTAGTTTAAATTCTGTATGCGTAGAACATACCTTAAAATGGTAATTGTGTGTTGGCAGTACTGTGGAGAGCACTGTATACAACTGTATTTTTTTCCTCGTGGTTCAACAGTAGTGCCCCAGAACTTTCACTTGACGGTTTTAAAACTACGGGTTGCTGTTGGTTAGTGGTTGCAAAATTATTTTAGGGAGTGAAAGCCGGGGATTTTTTTTTTAATAATAGACTAGAGAGTAACAGACCTATGACACACATTGTTGTGTGCCATCGAGTCGATTCCAGCTCTTAGTGATCCGATAGGACAGAGCAGAACTGCTCCGTAGGGTTTCTAAGGCTGTAAATCTTTATGGGAGCAGATTGCCGGGTCTTTTCACCCACAGAGCCACTGGTGGGTTTGAACTGCCAACCTTTTGATTAGCAGCTGAACGCCTAACCATTTCACCACCAGAGCTTACTCTGTATTACACATAGCAATGGTATTTTATGGACGTTAGATATGTATATATGTGTGTGTCTTTACAGGGTCTAGATGTGAAATATATTTCTTACTGTAGATTGCTTTTAGAAAAAGTTTGAAAGCTACTTGTCTTTAAATATTTTAGTATCATTTCATCTGATCAACCTTTTCTAGGGGGTTGGGTGATGAGATAGATGGTTAGCTTAAATGAGAGTTGAATTGAAAGAACTAGCCAAAGTTAGAGGTTAGGCATCAGGACTAAAAGGACAGTGAGGGTGTGGGATGGTTCTGGGCGCCAGCGAGTAACACGGCTTAGCAGGTCATTTTGTCAGGGAACTAAGTAGTTAATCCTTGGTGAGAGAGGAAACAAGTGTGAGAGTTAGTACTGCTTATGGTGTTGGCGAAGAATATTGAATACACCACGAACTACCAGAAGAACGAACAAATGCGTCTTGGAAGAAGTACAGCCAGAAGCCTCCTTAGAAGTAAGGATGGTGAGACTTCGTCTCACATACTTTGGAGGTTATCAGGAGGGACCTTGGAAAAGGACATCGTGCTTGGTAAAGTGGAGGGTGAGCGAAAAAGAGGAAGACCCTCAACGAGATAGATTGACACAGTGGCTGCAATGATGAGCTCAAACATACCAACAGTTGTGAGGATGGCGCAGGACCAGGCAGCGTTTCGTTCTGTTGTACACAGGGCTGCTATGAGTTGGAGCCAACTCACGGCACCTAACAACGACAACAGCATCACATTGTTGATGTAGCCTTGCGTTAAACATATTGTATCCGTAAAATTGATTTGGTTTAGAACAGTAATTTAATAAAACGCCCAAAACACATTATAAGAGAATCATTATTCTCATTTTATAAGTTTATAACCGCTAGATGTTATTACATATTCTAAGTATCTCAGTTTTACTGAGCTCATATTAAATAACATAGGCATTAAAATGAAATATTTGGATTCCATAAGAAGGAAATATATAGTTGTTATATATTATGCTACTTTTTAAAGTAAGCAGAACTTTAATATCTTTTTGAATTCTTTTCAGTGGAAGTGTTAACATTTCTGTCCCTTTCTAGGAGTTCTTTTTCATATATATAATGAGCATTTTAATATTTTAACAATGATATACTTCTGAAATAAATTTTATTAATTTATATTCTTTGAGGGTAATGTTTATTTTATAACATTCTGAGTTTGCTCTTCTGGGTCAGAATTTTGGTGCTTATGTGTTATGGTCACTTGACAAAACTTAGAAAATTGAAGCAATAGGTAATATATATAAGTAATTTCGTAATATTGATGTTTGCTAAAATATAGCTATCATTGAAATGGAATTGTTAGTTGAGACTATTTTTAATGAAATGCTGAATTATTTTGATAATAATTGTAAATGGTCATTGAAGCAATGTTTTAATGTAGCATCTGCTTCCCTTTTTATTGAAACCCAACATAAGTGAATAGTTCTGTATAGGAGTCCTTTAAAATATCTTTTCTAAGATAGCTGAAAATATAAAAACTGGTGCATGATAGATAACCTAGAGTTTTTCTATAAAGAATTATCTTTTTTTAATATATATAGAATTGCATGTTGAATTGCTTGAAAAATTTATCATATATCAGGCTTAGCCTTGACTACAAAATTGATTAGCATGCAGAACAACAGAAACAAAAACCATACATCAATTTTACTTAGAAACATGCCTGCAGAAACCCTAAAAAAAGATTTAAAAACAACAATAAAAACAAATCAAATTAAGTGAGCATCAAAAGAATAATTTAATAATTATCAAATAGGATTCATTCCAGGAACACAGGGGTGGTTCAACAGTTGGAAATCAATTACTATAATTTTATTGCATTAACAGATTCGAGGAGGAAACCATACATAAATCATCTCAGTAAATGCTGAAATAGTAAAATTTAACACTAATTCTTGCTTTAAAAGCTTCTTTGATTCAAGAAATATAAGGGAAAGTTAACTTGATATGGTGTACGTACCGGAAATGAGTGCCAGGTGTTGTACATAATGATGAAGAACTGGAAGCATCATCACTGAAGTCAGGGACAAGACCAGGATGTTTGCTGTCATTGCGGATGTTTAATATTATGCTGGAGGTCCAAGCCAGTTTGATTCAAAGGAGAAACAATTGAGACAAACATTGGAAGAGAAGAAAAAGGGTAGACGTTATTTATAGATGATGTAATTACCTACTAGTGTATCCTACTGAAGCAGCTGAAAATTATTAATTAATTGAATAAAGCGGCTTGATAGAAGGTCAACATACACAAATGAATAATCAGCTAGAAAATAAAATGGAAAAAAATAACAACAAAACCCCAAAATATTCTGAAATAGACCTAATGAGAAAAGTACAAGATAATTGTGAAAGGAAGGTTTCAACATCAGTGGAATACTATGTATCAATGAAGAAAACAGATGTAACTGTAAACAGTGTGGATAAATCTTAAAAACATGATATTGAGCAAAAAAAGATACAAAAGAATATATATTCAGTGATTCCATAAAGCTCATCAACAGAAAAGAGTCCTAACTACCTTGTTTAGGGGGGACTATATATATGTGATAACACCATGAAGAAAAGCAAAGGGCTGGTGTTTGTAAGTCAGGGTAGTGTTTCTCTGCGGGAGAGGTAAGGGGTTGTGATTGTGGAAAGGCACATAGAGGGCTTCTAGGTATTGACAGTTTTCTATTTCTTGACCTGAGTGGTGATTACATGAATGCGTCCTTTAAATTTGCTAAACTCTGTGTATATGTTTTATCTACTTTTCTGCCGGTGACTATATCACAGTAAAAAAAACAAAAAGGAGAGGAGATGGATAAGTGGAACATAATATAGAGTCCAGAACCTGACCATCTATGTGGGGACATTTATTTTATGACGAATGAGGCAATTTAAACCAATGGTAAAAAAGATGTATCAGCCGATAAATGGTTACAAGATAATTAGATTTTTCTAGAGAAAAATTAAATTGGATTCCTAGCTCGTTTCTTAAAAATTTTTTCCAGATAGATTAAAGATTTAAATATAAAAATGAAACTATGTGTCAGAAGCAAATATTGAGGTCTAGAATGTCTTCCTAAGTAATACAGTATATACAGATACCATAAAAGAAAAAAATGAACCGATTTAGTGACATATAAATTACAAACTCCTGTGTGGTGAAAGATACAGTAACAACAATTCAAAACAGAAGACAGACTGGGAAAAATACTTGCAAGATCTATATTAGACAGTCTTATTTTCCATAGTACATGAAGAGCTCATGAAATTGAATAACTCCAAAATTAGGTGAACAATTAGTATCTAGAAGAAGAAACATAAATATATAATAAGCTGGAAATATTCTCAGCCTTTCCAAGAAGCAGAAATTGGAGATAGATTGATGATAATCAGTATTTGTGACAACATAGGGAAATGGCCTCTTTGCTGGGAGTATAAATTGGTACAGCCTCTTTCTTGGGAGAGCAGTTTCTCTCAACATCTAAATTATAGTTTTGCCCTATAATTCCATGTCTGAAAAATTTGCCTTTCTGAAAGACTTACGTGTGGCACAAAGATATACGTATAAGGAAGGTCCCTATATAGAGTGGGAAAAATTGGAACCATCTCATGTCTATCGTAGCGGAATGATTCAATAAATTAATTGGACTCATAATACCCATAACAACTGGAGTTGTTAATTTGCTTACCATATTGTATACATGTCAAAACACAATGTTAATTTTTTAAAAAGTATTTTCACATCAAATAACACATTGTCATACGTTTATGTAAAAAGCTAAAATTCTATGTATGTATATATTTACACATGTATTTAAGTGCAGAAAACAATGTCCGGAAGTATATTCATGAAAACATCAGTAGTTACCTCTGGAGGTGGGAAGTGGAGTAGACTTTATTTAATTACTCTTGTCTGAATCTTATATAGTAAACATGTATTGTGTTAATTTTTTTAAAAGAAAATTTTCTTTATTTTGGGGCTTTTGAAATAACATTCTCTTTTTATAATATTAGATAACTATGAAAATTAACAGCCATATCTGAGCAGAAAACTTTGTAATTGATGACTGGGGAAGAACCCTTTCTATAGTTTATTGGGTTTAATGAATTTCTTTTGTGTTTAACAGAAGCATATCAAACATTACGGTGGGTCTTCATTTTTGCAGATATATTTTGAAGGAGAGTTATCGCAGTATTACGTTTTCCCTCTTTAAATTTCCATAAATTTGGAATTGTCAAATGGTGCCTCAGAATCTCTAATTTTTAGTTTTACTTTTTGTCCAGGCCCATCAAACTGCAGTGAAGAAGGTGAAACCTGGAGAACAAAGGAGGAAAATGTTTGAGGTATAAAGATGTCTGTCTGCTTTTTTTAAAGCATTGCAAAAAATAATTATTTTTAAAAAAGGAAACAAAATCTTACAGTATTTAAAACCTCCAAACCTTTCCTCCTTATTTCTTTCAACCAAATACCTCTAACTTTTTTTTTTTTTTTTTTTAAACCTCCCTGGACATACCTCTGCCATTGGTGTACTAAGTTTCCTGATAAAACTAGAAAAAGTAGGAATTATTATTGATGAAAATGTTCTTTTTTTTTTTCAATTAAGGAAGCAGCAAACAAGGCAAGGTTGGAGTTTACTGAGAAAGAAAAGAAGCAAAAGGATCAGGTAGTTTGTTTTTTGTTGTTTTCCTTCCTTTGCCAAGATTTAGATCATCATAGTTTCCAGAGTTCTGAGAAGTTTGTCTTTCAAATTGTTCCAGGTCAGTTTACTGAAGGCCGAACAGACGAAACGACAAGAAAAGGAAAGGGTGAGAGGACCCTCTGTTTTTCCTTGGCACATTCTTCCTCCTCTCACACACACACACTTTCTAAAAAAATATTTTATTTTTATTGTTGTTGAGAATATACACAGCAAAACATACACCAGTTAAACAATTTCTACATGTACCCTTTAGTGACATTAATTACATTCTTTGAGTTGTGTAACCATTCTCTTCCTCCTTTTCTGAGTGGTTCTAACTCCGTTAACATAAATTCACAGGCCTCTAAGTTTCCTATCTGATCTTCCAGTTGCTGTTGTCAATTTGATCCCATATAGGTAATTCTTAAAAGAGCATAATGCTCAAGGCAAACCTTTTTACTAGTTAAGCTTAACTGTTGTTCGGTTTTAAGAAGACTTCAGGGGATATTTTTGATTTAAGGTTTAAGGATTACCTCAGGTCAATAGTTTTAGGGGTTCATCCAAGCTTCATGGCTTTAGGAAGTGTAGAGTCCCTGAGAATTTGAAATTCTGTTCTGCATTTTCCCCCTTTTGATCAGGATTCTTCTATGGGATCTTTGATCAAAATGTTCGGTAAGGGTAGCCAGGCACCATCCTGTTCTGGTCTCATGGCAAAGGAGGCAGTTATTCATGGGAGCAGTTAGCCACACATTCCCTATCCTCCTCCTGTTGCTGACTCTCCTTCATCCTCTGTTGTTCCCAGTGACTAGAGACCAGTTGTTTTGCCTTGGATGGCCACTTGCAAGCTTTTAAGACCCCAGGCACTACACATCAAAGTAGGAGGTAGAACAGAAGCATTAAACACATTATCGGGCCAATTAACTGGGATTCCCGTGAAACCATGACCCTAACCCTCCAAACCAGCAACCCAAATCCCATGAGGTGTTTGGTTGTACATAAGCAGCATCAGCAGCTACCCTTTTTTTGTTTGTTGTTTTTTGGTCATTGTAAATATATCTATCACACAGCTTTTGCCAATTCAACTTTTTACAGGTGTACGACTTATTAACAGCAATTATAATAATCAGCTGTACACCCCTACCCTTAATCAATGTGGTATTTCCATCACCACTAGCCCCCTCTTTCCCCCTCACTCCCACCCTCGGTAACCAGTAATAAATTTTTTTCTCTATACGTTTGCCTTTTCTTGTCTTTTTCTGTAAGTGAGGTCATGCAATATTTGTCCTTCTGTGATGGACTTTTTTTAACTTGGCGTAATGTCACACACACTTTTTTTTTTTTTAGAAAAAAGGAATACTTTGCTTTCCATTTCATTGCTAAATGTATTTCATGAATTTTATATTAAATACTTGAAACAGTGTTTTGTTTGTTTCTTTTCTAAAAGTTGGAGAGAATAAATAGGGCCAGGGAACAAGGATGGAGAGATGTGCTGAGTGCTGGTGGAGGTGGTGAAGTTAAGGTAGGCATCTGTACCAGGGATTACACTACTGCAGTCCTCTTGCTCCTTAAAATCTATGTAGCTATTCTTTTTTGGTACACAGTTCATTTTTATTTAGAATTCTTCAGCATCTTTTATAAATTTTTGCCTTTCTTGCATGTATTTGGTATATAACTTGTATTGATAACTAATATGTGACACTGTTGCAGTTGTTTCAAAGGCTTGATGTGAATGAAGGCTGTGATACACCGTGCCTGCTAGAGGAATCTTTTTAAAATCAAATACAGTATGTCACACCTCTGCCTAAAATCTTTCCGTATATCCTTAAAAATGGAGTTTTCAAAAGACTATTATTTAATTTTATTTTTGGTGAAAATATGCACAGCAAAACCTACTCCTTACACATTTTCTAGACATAATGCTCCGTGACGTTGGTTACATTCTTCACATTGTGTCAACATTCTCCTTATTTCTGTTCTAGTTGTTTCATTTCCATTTACTTAATCTCCCTGCCCCCCAACATTCTCATCTATGTCTTAAAATAGCTGTTTTCCCCAAAGAGTAGACCGGCCTATAAAACAATAACACAAGTGAGGAACATGCTTCTTAGTTCAATCAACTATACGAGACCAAATGGGCAACACCTGCCCCAAAGCACAGACAGGAACACAGGAAGGGACAGGGAACCTGGATGAATGGACGCAGGGAACCTGGGGTATAAAGGGAAAGGGAGAGAGTGCTGACACAGTGCAGGGATTGCAACCAATGTCACAAAACAATTCATATATAAATTTCTGAATGAGAAACAGATTTACGTTGTAAACTTTCACCTAAAACACAATTAAAAAAAAAAAAAAGAAGCTATTGCGCCTTTGGTCTTATGTAGTTTTTTTTCCTTTTTTTTTTTTTTTTTAAGTAACACAATATTCAAGGGTGACAGTCTTTACTCTTTGGGCTAAACCTTTAGTTTAAAGGTGACTTCAGGGGTTCCTTTCAGTTCACGGTTTGAAGAGCATCTGAGTGCCATAGTCTCAGGGACTCCTCCAGCCTCAGCAGGTCCAGTACAGAAGACTCTTCTTAATCTGGCGTCTGCTAGGCTCTCCAAATTCGTCTCCATCCATTCCCTACGACATACTGTATGTTCTAGTCATGGTGAACTCAAGACGGTGCTTAGAGTTTCCTCCTGTATATAGCCTGCCGACTCTGCCTTCACACCTGTGTTTCTCTGCTTGAAATCTCCGTCCTCCCTCCCTACTCTCACCTCCATCTCAGACCGTTTTCCTAGATGACCGATTACTTACATATGTTAATTCAAATGGCTGCTTTTGGTGGATTCAGACTATATAACCTTGGACGAGTTACTTAATTTTTTTGAGCTTTCGTTTCTTCATCTTAAAAAGAAACTAGGAAAAGTTGTAAGAGTTTGACTAGTAAGAACTCACATTAATTTCCTTTTCTTTATTTTACCCGTCTGTTATGTACTTCCTCTTTTGCTTCTGTAGCGTCCTATGCACATCTGTGTCTGTGGAAGGCAGAATTCTAAGATAGTCCACAAGGTTCTGGATACCCCGTGTACACACCTTGTATTATTCCTTCCCCTTGAATGTGGGTGGATCCTGTGAATATGATCGCATAGTAGCCTCCTTGATTAGGTTATGTAACATGGCAAGCGGTGATGGGATGGTGACTGATAATTACATTGCTTTATATAAGGCTCGGGCTGGAAGGGGTGCAGTCACAGAGACATGCTCCGGTGGCCTGGAAGGAAGCAGACATCCACGTCGTGAACTGCCTGTAGAGCCCACATGGAAGGAGGTGTAGGTGGCCTCTAGGAGCCCATAATGTTCTCTGGCCAAGAACTAGCGAGAAAATGGGGATCTCGGTCATACAGCTGCAAGGAAACGAATTCTGCCAACAACTAGCGCGCATAGAAGAGAATCCTAAGCCTCAGTTGAGAATTGCAGCCCCATCCGATACTTTGATTTCTGCCTGGTGGGATTTTATGTAGAGGACCCGGGTAACTTGTACTCAGACTCCTGGGCCAGTGAAACTGAGATAATGAATGGGTATTCTTTTAAGCTGCTAAGTTTATGGCAGAGCCCTGGTGGCATAGTGGTTAAGAGCTCAGGCTGCTAACCAAAAGATGGGCAGTTTGAATCTACCAGGTGCTCGTTAGAAACCCTATGGGGCAGTTCTACTTTGTTCTGTAGGGTCACTGTGAATTGGAACCAACTCAATGGCAATGGGTTTGGTTGGTTTTTGGTTTTTGTTTTTTTTAAGTTTGTGGTAATTTGTTACACAGCAATAGGAATATTCTTTTATGCCTCTGTATTATAATTTTTATTTGTATCATTGAATCAACTGTTAATCAGCATGTCATTAAACTGTGAATTCCCTTCACCCATCTCATGAGCATTTTTTATTTAGGTACGAAATAGATATTTGTGAAGCTGAATTGATGACCATTCTTGCTCATTTCTTTTCCTCAAAAGTTGTAATTTGAAAAAGAGCTAGCTTGCGGCACAAATGGTTTCCACTCGACTCCTAACCTAAAGGTTGGTGGTTCCAACCCACACAGCAGCACCAGGGAAGAAAGTCCTGATGATCTGCTTCCGGAAGAGAGTGCAGCCAAGAAAAAGCCTATGGAGCAGTTCTACTCTGTAACACACAGGTCCCCGTGAGTGAGAATTGACTCAGTGGTAACGGGTTCGGGTTTTGTTTTGTTTTTATCTAGACATGTCTATTCTGTCCTGGCTTTCTTTGTTTTTCAGTCTCTCGAGACACAGAAGTTTTTCGTCTTACATATCAGTAATTCAGTAAAAGTCACTTTTTCCAATTCTGTATTAATGTAGACCTACACAGTTTTTAATAATCTAATTTTATCCTGATATTAAGTAGAGGAGTCCCTGGGTGGGAAGATTAAGCACTTGAATACTAGCTGAAAGTCTGGCAGTTTAAACCTGCCCAGGGGTACCTTGGAAGACAGGCCTGGAGATCTGCTTCTGAAAGGTCACAGCCTTGAAAACCCTAAGGAGCACAGTTGTACTCTGCACACACGGGGTCGCCGTGCGTCAGAATCGACTACACAGCAGCTAACAACACAAAGTAGAACTTATTACCTCTTGAATGTTAATGTGGCCTCAGACAGAGTTTGGCCCTTTCTGAAATAACTAGCCCCATATCTTACCTGATTGGACAGTGAGAACTTACCAGTCAAACATTTTGTTTCAGATCTGTGATGAGTGTTGAAAATGTGATTATTTTATCTTCTCCTGTGCTTATATCTTCTTATATGCAACAAAATTGTTTCCTTTTTCTGTGATAGCTAAAGTAGTATTGTAATCCTAAAAGTCTAGTTTTACCAGTGTTGTTTAACTACTTGAGATGGTTTTTTCAACATTGTTAGATACTATGTGCTTAATATATTTCGGCTTCACTTTATAAACTTCTGTAATTCTTTTGTCGAAGGTTACTGAAACAATTTTTTTTTAGGATTTAAAGAAAATTCTGTTTTTTTCTGTACTTGTCATAGAGTTTTAAATATTAAACTTGTTAGGCTAATTTGATTTCTGTACAGTTGGTAAGGACATGAAGGCTCCGTATAATGTGAAGCAAATTGAGATCCCCCAAATTTAGGTAAAACAAAAACTAAGCATCACAATATTAAGGGAAATATTTCAAATTTAATAGCATTGTTATATGCTTCTAAGCAGTAAATGTTATTATTATTCACAGCTTAAATAACCAACTCTTTTTTCTTAATCCATTTTTTTGGCGTGTCTCTTGTAAGTATGTATTTTCATAAAAGTTATGTTATATTCCAAATATATTTGATCATATGGTGATCGTTATATATAAGAGGCTTATCTGTTGTTTGAAAATATACTGGAATACTATTCAGCAATAAGAAGGAACAACCTATTTATACATGCAATAACATGGCTCAGTCTCAGCATTATACTGAGTGAAAGAAGCCACTCACAAGAGTACAGATAGTATGATTCCATTTATATGAAATTATAGGAAAGGCAAATCTAATCTCTAGTGACCGAAAGCAGGTCAGTGGTTGCTGGAGTGACAGTCATTGACTTTGGAGGGACATAAGGGAACTTTTTGGGGTAATGGTAATGCTTTCGATAGTGGTGGTGGTTACATGAGTGTATATATTTGTCAAAACTCATCCGCCTGTTTGTAAGTGGTGGATTTTTTTTTTTTTTTTTTTGTGCTTTAAGTGAAAGTTTACAATTCAAGTCAGTTTCTCATACAAAAATTTATACACACATTGCTATGGGACTGTAGTTGCTCTCCCTATACTGTACAGCACACTCCTGCTTTCCACCCCTGATTTCCTGTGTCCATTCAACCAGCTCCTGACCCTCTCTGCCTTCTCATCCTGCCTCCGGACAGAAGCTGCCCATTTAGTCTCATGTATCTACTTGAGCTAAGAAGCATACTCCTCAGGAGTATCTATAAGTGGTAAATTTTATTGCATATAAATTATACCTCAATAAATTGATTTTAAAAAGATCGTGTTGCTTCGGTATTCTAACAGTATTTTCAGTATTAATATGAATATAGGCATCTTCAGAGATGTGTGCATACTCTGATAAAGAGAGACGTTCGAACACTAAATTTGAGCTAAGATGGTATTAGCGCCAGGTGAAACTCCAGCAGTCTCCAGTGTCATGGGAGATTTGACCACGTTTTACCAGAATTCTGATCCTGTCCTGACTCGAGACGCACATGTTGAGGCTGTGTGTGAGCACCCCTGGGATGGAGCTTCCTGCCTAATTATCCATCATCCTTGTTTCTAGCAGCTTTCATCTCTTGTTCTTTGAACATCTAAACAGTTATCTGAATTTATTTTGTGATGATTTTTTTTTTAATCGTGGTTTCTTATAAAATTGTATGCAATTTACTATGTCAGGGTGTTAAATGTTATCTCACTGGGTTACACTCAAGTTTCTTTTATTAGATTCCAGTATATTTCTTTGTGTCTTTTCTTAGCCAGAGTTTTTCCTTAAGGTGTTATCGCCTGGAAGTTCTGCCTCCTTTCCTCTCAGAATTCTGGTATCTGCTGTCATCAGTTTACAAAAAAACTGAGCTTTTTAAAGGCTGCTACACACCTTTAGACATATCAGCTTGTCTTATATGTCAGATGACCTCTGCATTTGAGGTTATTGATTTCCTCTTTTTTGATGATATTCTACCACGACTTCTGTAGCGTTTGCTGCTGTTTTAGGTGCCATGGAGTCGGTTCCAACTCAGAGGCACCCTGTGTACAACAGAACAAACACTGCCAGGTCCTGCACCATCCTCGCAGTCGTGTTTGAGCCCATTGTTGAGCCCGTTGTAGCGTTATACACTTTGATTTACTACTTTTATCCTTTTCTGACTACTTTCTAACTCTGGGTTTTCCAGGTGGTTGAGTTCTGACATCTCTGTTGTTGAGTCCTTATGTCTTTGTCTTTATCCTTTGTCATTCCAGCAGAGAATCCACAACTGCCTCAAGCTTTTACTTTTTCAATGGTTGCCTTTATTTCTAGGCTTCCTGGCTTGGGGTCAGCTCAGCATCAGCCTAATTGGTCACTCTGCCTTGGTCTCTCGCTTATTCCTGCTTATCATGCTTCATATTGACTTTTTGACTTTTTTATAAACTGTTTTGGTATACTACTGCAAGAAAGTTTATAAATGCTTTCTGTTGTTTATTATATGAACTCAGAACACCCAGGCGTGATAGCAGCTAGCTATACCAACCTTTTATTGCCGAGCTTAGCACTCCCTATCTGCCTTCCTTGTAATGGTATTTGTTTGTCTACATTGTCCTTCATATTTCCTCTCCCTCCCCCACTGCCAACATCCAAATATTTACATACATTGCTTATTTTTACTGTAATCGGCTCAGACTTAATCTCTCTTTATTACATTGCTTTCAAGGCTACGTTCGGCATTTATCTTTCTCTATACTTAAAAAAATATTTTTAGGGATTTTACTTCTAATCATGTTGTCTGCTTTGTGAATTTGTTCAGTGCTTACTCCTTGGAGTGTCCCTCATTGTCGTTCATTTACCACAGGCTTGACGTGTTTTTCTAGTTTTGTGTTTTCTCTCCCAACTGGATTGTAAACTACTTAAGCATAGTATGTTTTGCTGCTTTTATCTACACGAGGTATGTTTTCACAGTGTTTTAACCTTAATGTCTGCTTGGTGAATTGAATGATTTGGGGTATATTAAATGCCATATGCGAATGCTTTTGTTAAATATAATTTTGAGTGTTAACAAAAGCAGGCTCTGCTTTAGTTAGTAACCATCCATATTTAAGCTTAATAGAACAGAATCATATGAAGTGCATGTTAGATGCTTGTTTCAAAACTTGTTTATTAAGACCATAATTTTCCATATTTAAATGATGGAGTGACATTTTAGTGTTTTTGTCTGTTGCATTAAATTATGCTTTGTTATTAGTAACAAAGCATACTACTTTTTGATTGTTGATGGTTGTAATATAGTAGGAAACATTTTGCTTTGGGTTGTATATGTATCACTGTGTTCAAGTTAGATAATTGCTTTTTTAAAGTTGTGTCAATATTCACTTTTTTCTTTGGAGGCCAGTGCAGACCTTTAAGGCCTCGTGAGATAAACATGTGAGAGCTCTTTGTTTAACTCCTAGGCTCCCTTTCTGGTCAGTGGAGGACCAGTGGCTCCATCTTGTTCTCCTCGAGGACAGTATGAACATTACCATGCTATTTTTGATCAAATGCGGCAGCAAAGAGCAGAAGATAATGCATCTAAGTGGAAAGGAGAAGTACATGGCCGAGGGCTTCAAGAAAGGTATGGCTTATGTTCTGCAGAAGTTGCTTATGCTTTGCTTCAGAGAAAGTAATGAAAATCACTGTGCATATTTATCTACAGAGGAATTTCACCTGGAATACGTCCAGGATTTCCTAACGGGGCTGCAGGTCATCACCATTTCCCTGATGCTGATGCTATTAGAAAAACTTTGAAAAGATTGAAGGCCATATCTAGACAAGCCAATGCAAACAGGTTGGACTGTGCTGATCTGTGAATTCATCCTTGTGTGTAATTTTGTCTTATGTATAGCTTAGTACCTACACTGTCTAGATGTTTTCTCCGTTGATTACGTAGAATATTTTTTGTCTTCTAGATGCAATAATTTTCTCAGGTGTGAATTTGGCACTTGATTGCATTGTGACAAGCATGTAGCTCTTCAATTCAGTCTGATTTTTGTGGCTTATTTATGTGTTATAGGGTAAACAAATTGTTTTTGAGCATGTTATTTACAGGAACATGTGGTAACTGATAGCCAACATATGGTTGTAATAATTTCACCTACTTGCTCTAGATAAATAAGAATATAAATTTAAATGGAGTCACACTTTATACAAACCTCCAGACATGGTTTTTTGTCTTCCTTTTCTTTATCACCTTGAACCCCACTTTTCTCTTTGTTAGTACGTTTTCTCTTCACATTCATCTTTGATTTATATCTCTATGATCCTGTTCATCAGATCGTCCCTTTCCTCCAGTGAATTAATTTAATAATGGTAATTGTCAGTGGTTTTAATTTGCACAGTTCCTTCTTTCTCAAGTATGCATGTATGTTTTCTTAGGCATTCTGATTTCCTCTATAAAACATTCTGGTGAGTTAAGGAAGATCAGATACCATTTTACGAAAATTTAGATACATTGCCCTTTTCCTTGTTGTGATTTTAAGGAGAATACCTTTGAATGTTATAAAATTCTTTATGATGCCTCTGGATTATAAAAGATGATTAAAATTTAGTTGAGCAGAGATATATAAGTGAGGTAAATATAAGTTAAAATTGAATTATTTACAGTAGCCTGAATGTTAAGATAATTGTAGATTGTACAAGGCTACAGATTCACACATGCATGTTTTTGATGAAATGGGAAAGCAAATTCTATGTGAGACTTTTATCCTCTGGTATTATTGAACTTTCTAGTATATATTTTGTTTGGTTTTATTTTAATCAGAATCTCATAAAATAAATGTGCATAGTTGTGAGGTGTGGAATCACCTTGCGGAAAGCCATTTGTTCTTCAGTCTTGTTCCTGAGAGCCCTGAGGATGGAGGCTCTCCTAGGGGCCTCATACTGACTAACCCTCCAGAGGCATGATACAATCATGGCCATGTGCTGAGGCCAGTAAAGACCTTGGAAGATGGAGGCTCAGAGAGCTTCCTGGTTGGTGACCACACACGGTAGAGGGTAGTGCGTTTCTCTTTAGCACATGGAAGCTCCGTGCTGTGACCTCTCCCAGACCTCCCCCTATGCATCTCCTCATTTGTATCCCTTTTTGTTATATTAAAGCTGTTATTGCAGGTGTCGTGTTTCCCATGAGCTCTGTGGGTTATTACAGTGAATTATAGTACCCAAAGGAGCAGGGAGAGCCGTCTGGTCTGGAGTGGAGGGAGTCAAATGGACTCCCAGGCTTGCAGTCGATACCCTGAAGGGTTAGAGGAAGACCCCAGGTTTGGGGCCTGCTGTTCTGGAGTGGAGGGGGTCATGTGGACTCCCAGGCTTGCAGCCGCTACCCTGAAGGGGTAGAGGAAAATCCCAGGTTTGGGGTCTGCTGGCCTGCAGTGGAGGGGTCATGTAGACTCCTGAGCTTGTAGCTGGTAACTGCTGACCCAGCCCTGGGTAGCTAGGTGAGCTGTGTGGGCAGCTAGGATCTGAACTGAACAGGGAAGGGAAGCTGAGATTTCCAGAGGACATAGCTGACATGTGGAGTGGGGTTTGTTATCTACCACACAATTTGGTGTCAGAAGTGAGTGATGTCAGTCTCCCTGGACTGGTTTGCCCAATGGACACTGTAAGGCAGGATTTGCTAGAGTGGACTTTGACAGTGCAATAGTGTAAAGAAAATAGGGAGAACTATTTTATACTTCTTCACACTGCTCATCTTCCAGAATGCTTCTTGAGTTTTCATAGATGGAATGACAGATAATTGACTACATTGGGTCATTTGCATCAAACTCCTGTATAAACTTGAAATATTTGCATATGTTCATAGTTGTGTTTCAGATTGTCTTTAATGGCTGTGTATCTCAGTTACTTCTTCCACTGTTCCACACCTTCCATTCGAAGTTTGAGCATCAGATAGAATTTCCACTATCTTAATTTGCTGTTTTTGAGCAGTATGTAGTTGTGAGATCATTTAGCATTCCATCTGAATCAACTCTGGTATGCTTAGCAATACTCAAGCATAATATACTTTTATTTTTAAATCTTACACTCAAGTTGTTGTTGTTATTACTGACAATACCAGTTTAAAAAAAAAAAGCAGTTGCTGTCTAGTTGATTCTGACTCATGACAATCCCATGTGTGTCAGAGTAGAACTGAATTTTTTTTTTTTTACCTGTTGTAGCAATATACAGAGTAAGGCTTGGCAAACTATGGCCCATTGGCCAAATCCAGCCAGCCACCTGTTTTGGTGCAGCTCATTATCATTGGTTTTTAAATGGTTGAAAAAATCTAAAGAATAGTATTTTGTGACATGTAAAAATTCTATGAAATTTAAATTTCAGTGTCTGTAAATAAAGTTTTACTGGAATACAGCCACGCTCATTCATTTATGTGTTTTCTATGGCTGCCTTCCTGCTACAACAGCAGAAATGAGTATGACTTGCAAACCCTAAAATATTTACTATCTACCCTTTACAGAAAAAGTTTTGTTTGTTCCTGATACAGAGATTAAAATAGAGGTAAAAAAAATTCTAGTAAGATGTAAGTAATACAACTTAAAACAATTCTAAAACTTCTGAAATCTGAACTTCAAGATGTCCGAGAATTACGAGGCTTAAATTTTTGATACTTTAATTTATAAACTGTAAAATGAAATATTTAAAGTGTCTCATTTAATATTAAATCTGGCGTAACTGCTTGAAGGTATCCAGATCCACAGACTTGAAGTTTTAGACCTAAAAGGAATTTTAGGATGTAATTCTCCCTCCATGTTTTAATAAATGATGTCCTAAGATATCAGGATAAAAATATTTATACCAAGATAAGAGTGTATGAAAGGATTTGTATATAAATGACAGGTTGGGTTGGTCGGTATCATATCTTTTACTTTAGAAACACATGTTTTGATTACTGTAGGTGATGAATGGCTCCTTTGTAAATGGAACCATTTAAGCTTCTTGAAGCCTGATTTCATAGGCAGTGGTAAATATTTAATTTTTAAAAATTTTTATTATATATATTGGTCCACTCTAGAAAGGTTTATTTTACTGGCTGACACTGCCAAGACATAATCCCATCACCTGCTGAAGTTTTTACTCAGTTTTCTCATTGCTTTCTAGTCACACTTAAACTACTTTATCCTGCTTATTGTACCTCCTAAATACTTCTTGATTGTCTCTTTTTTCCCCAATTCTACCACCGTTGCCAGCTTTAGGCCCCCTTCATTTCTCATCCATGTTACCTCCTCTCTGACTTGTTTTCTTTTTTAAAATGATGTTTTTAATGGAATGATCTGAAATGCAAGTATTTCATCATTTGTGTCTGTTGTTAGGGCCCTACAATGACTTCCCACAGCCCGCAGGAAATCTTAGCTCTCTCTCGGGTTTCTTCTCTTGACAGTGCCTACCTTTTGGTTTATCATCCCAAGTCACTGAACTGCTTCTGGTTCCCCGGATGAAGCATACTGTTTCTTACTTTCACGTCTGTTTCTTGCATTCAGTCTCTCTCTCTTAATCTAGTTAATGTGTATTTATCCTTTGTGGTTTCTGGAAGCATTTTCCAGGAGGTCTTCCTTTACCCCTCTTCATTGCTGCCTTTTAAGTATCTATACCACTGTTTTTATCGCATATTCTTTTTTTCCCATTTTCAAAAATAATTTTATTGGGTCCTATTTTATATATCATATACTTCACCCATTTCAGGTGTAAAATTCAGTGATGTTTAGTAAATTTTCCAAGCATCATAATCACTTTTAAAACATTTTCATCACTCAAGTAAGATAGCTCATGAACATCTACTATTAATTTCTGTACTAGGCAACTACTGATCTATTTTCTTTATATATTTCCTGTTCTTAACATTTCACGTCAGTGGAGTCATACCATATGTGGTCTCTTCTGTCTGGCTTCTTTTACCGTACGTAATGTTTCTGAGGTTTATCCGTAGCGTAGCATGTATCTGTAGTTTGTTTCTGTTTGTGCTGAATACCTTACTATTCTATCGATATGTATACTCTTACCATATGTTTTTATAATTGTTAATTTAATGATCTGTTTCTGTTACTAGGCCAAGTAGGAACTCTATTTCATTTGTCTTTGTAACTGCAAAGGTAGATAGAATGTTGGCAAATAGTTGGCACTTAATAAATATTTGTTTAATAAATGAGAGGAAAAAGAGACATACTAAACAAAAATCAGTACCGGTTTTAAGTTAGTGGAAGTAGTCAGTCATGTAAACCTACTTATTTAAACTGGCATAGGAAATGATTATGAAGTGAAGCAAAATTTATAATGTAAATCATATAAAGAGACAGTGCAGATGGTAGTTGATACATAAGTGGTGTGAAAGCATGCATGAACATCTGTAAATCAGAGCTGTTAACGTATGGCCAGGTTCTTAGTAAAATGATTCTATACAATGGCTGTATTAACATATGTCAATTGAAGGTTCAGACCGACGAGCACTGGACACAGACAGTGTATTAGGATGGAAAGTCTAACAAGTTTTACTTCTATAAAGATTAGAAAAGGAAGTCTGATGCAGCCAGGATGCATAGGAGAGTGATACACAATTTTATCTCATTGCAAATGGAGGTATAACCTTTAGGACCTCCCAAAACAGAGCCTTACCAGTAGACGTAACAGTTTCAGATGATATATTGGATATATCGTATCTCTGAAGGTTCATCTACCCTTTTCACGCCCAGCATTATAGAAATGGGGCTATAGCAGACCAGGATGCTCCTTGCCTGGATGTATGCAGGCAGTGTATTACATCCAGACCGATGTAGCGTATTCATCTCAGAGTTATACAGCACATGATATGCTTGCTAGGAGACAGCACGTGTGTGGTATAGACGCATGAACAAATTTCTCATCCATTGCTCTCAGCCTACTCAAGCGAACATGACCTGACGATGTGGAACTTGATTAAGAGTTAATTACCCAGACATATCAGAGAGTCAAAATAATAGGTCCTTAAACCAGCTGTAGAGACTGTCTTATCCTGGAAGATTCCAGTGATGGAAATTTCACCAGAATTTCTTTTAAGGACCATGTAAAGTAAATGCCCTTAGACCACTATCATTCACAGCTTCGTGGTGGAACACATTTTAAGTTTTTAAAGCTTACTTTCATATTTAAAATGTTTTTTGTTCCAGTTAGTAGTTCTTGCCGTACAATGTAAAGGAAATGATTATTTGGGGCATAAAAATTAGAAGTGTTTATATCTTACTGGAAGACAGAGAAGGTGTTATTTCACGTTTTTCACAGCATGACTCAGTGTGATAACCCCAAAGAGGCTATAGAAAGTTTGTGTACATTAGTAGCCAAAATCCGCAGAAGCACAGCCCGAAAAACATATTCCTCTTTCTTCCTCATGGCAAGATTTAACTAGAGTTGATTTCTGCTAGGAGTTCTCTGATTAGTGGGACTGGATTTATTTATTTGTGTGTCTCTAATAATTAGCATGATAACTGACACATGTATATAGTAGATGTTCAATAAATGTTTGTTAGTGATATTTTATTTGTGATCTAAGCTCAACATGTTTAAATTCTTCTATAATTGTCAAATAAACAGGTAAAATTGGAAAAGATTAGAACAAATAACTGTGCTTTTAGTTTTTTCCTAACCTATCCATTTCATTTTTCTATAATTGTCATATTCAAAGAATTCAGACATAACTTTTTACTGTATTTTTAAAAACTCAAACCCAGCAAGTGAACTTTTCATTTTTTTTGTTCATTTTTGATACTGCTATACTACTTCCAGTTGACTTTAATAGTCATTAAAGAAGCATCTTAGATATATCTGATACAGAATTCTGAAGTAAGCTGAATGGCCTAGGAACTATGGAGATTCTTCTCTAGTTAAGTACAGTCTAAAATAATTTTTGTGTCTATAACTAGGATAGATCAAATATAAGAGAAAGCTTCTTGTCAAGATTTGGAGTAGCATTATAGATTTTGCTTTTAATTAAAACACTGAAGACTGTGATTTAGGTAGTAGATGCCAATAAATATGTAGCGATTTCTTCGTTACAGATAAAGGTTTCATTTCACATCAACCTTTCTTCATGTTCTGCAACTGAAAAATGTATTTAGACTAAGTATAGTTTTAACTTTTTGGGATGTTCAGTGTTCGGAATTGCTGACTTTGTTGTTTGTCCACGTACTCAGGCAAAAAGGACAGCTGTCCGTGGAGAGAGCTAAACAGGTAGAAGAGTTCCTGCAGCGAAAACGGGAAGCTCTGCAGAATAAAGCTCGAGCCGAAGGACATATGGTAGGATTTTTTTTTTTTTTTTTTTTTTTTTTTTGAGATTTTGAACATATTGATATTTAAAGTGAAGGTTTGGAATAAGGTAAGTATACATAAAAAAAATCTACAATCTGTACATTAGAATAAGAAATAAAGATACTCAAAAGTAGAGTATGAAGTCTTGATGTATTTTCTATTATTTAACCTCTCTTCTGCTGTATCTTTCCTACCAAAGGTGAAATTCTATTGTTGCCTTGGTTAATTGAGAGTAAGTTCATAGCTGTATCCTTCCTATAAGAGTAGAAACGGATATTAAAAAAAAACAAAAACCAAACCCATTGCCATTCATGGCGACCTGTGTGTTACAGAGTAGAACTGCTCCCTAGGGTTGTCTTCGTTATCAGCCTTTATGGAAGTAGATCACTAGGCTTTTCTTCCGCAGTGCTGTTGGGTGGGTTCAGACCACCAATCTTTTCGGTTAATAGTTGAGTACAAACTGTTTGCTGCAACCCGGGACCTTAAAAATGGGTGTAGCAACCCAGATATTTATATTAAATAAATTCTTACGCTGTTTCACCCCACCCCTCATATGCTTTTTTGGTTTTAAATACTTTTAAGTAGCAAAGCATTTTAAAAAAAAATGGGAAATAAATTTTTGGGTAAAAATATATGTGTCACTATGCATTGGTTCAAAAGGAGATTACAAAAATTATATTCAAACCTCTACTTATGCCAATTAATTAGATTACTAATTAAGTCATTTATTCAAGAAAATATTAAGTTTCTGGATAATCGTTGCTGTTAGGTGCCATCAAGTAGGTTCCAACTCATAGCATCCCTGTATACAACAGGACAAAACCCTGCCTGGTCCTGTGCCATCCTCACAATCATTGCCATGTTTGAGCCCATTGTTGCAGCCACTGTGTCAGTCCATCTCATCGAGGGTCTTCCTCTTTTTCTCTAACCCTCTACTTTACCAAACATGATGTCCTTCTTCAGGGACTGGTCCCGCCTAATAACATGTCCAAAGTACATGAGACTAAGTCTCACCATCCTCTCTTCTTATAAGGAGCATTTTGGCTGTACTTCTTCCAAGACAGATTTGTTCATTCATTTGGCAGTCCGTGGTATATTCAATATTCTTCACCAGCACCATAATTCAAAGGCATCAATTCTTCTTTGGTCTTGCTTATTCATTGTCTAGCTTTTGCATGCATATGAGACAGTTGAAAGTGCCATGGCTTGGGTCAGGTGCACCTTAGTCCTCAAAGTGACATCTTTGCTTTTTAAAACTTTAAAGAGGTCTTTGCAACAAATTTGGCCAATGCAGTACATCATTTCTTGGCTGTTGCTTCCATGAGTGTTGATTGTGGATCCAAGTGAAATGAAATCCTTGACAGCTTCAATCTTTTCTCTGTTTCTAGTGATGTTGCTTATTAGTCCAGTTGTGAGAATTAATTGTTTTCTTTATATTGAGGGGTAAACCATACTGAAGGCTGCAGTCTTTGATCTTCATCAGTGAGTGCTTCAAGTCCTCTTCACTTTCAGTAAGCAAGGTTGATCATCTGCCTATCGCAAGTTGTTAACGAGTTTTCCTCCAATCCTGATGCTGCATTCTTCTTCATATAGTCCAGCTTCTTGGATTATTTGCACAGCATACAGACTGTATGGTGAAAGGATACAACTGTGACGTACACCTTTCCTGATTTTAAACCACACAGCAGCCCCTTGTTCTGTTTGAACAAGTGCTTCTTGGTCTATGTACAGGTTCCTCATGAGCACAATGAAGTGTTCTGGAATTCCCATTGTTTGCAGTGTTATCCATAATTTGTTATGATCCACACAGTCAAATGCCTTTGCATAGTCAATGAAACATGTGTAAACATCTTTCTGGTATTCTCTGCTTTCAGCAAAGATCCATCTGACATCATCAAGTGTGTGTAGATAATCGTTACAGTAGTTAAAACTCTTCAGAGTTTTGACTTGTAGAAGTACACAAATACTTTCTGACCATTGTCCACAGAACATCTGCCGATTGTTTCTCTCAGCTCAGCACCCCACGAAGCATGATGCTTACAAAGAGGTCAATTATATGGTAATATATTTGATTAGAATTGTAATATTTCTATAGTTATAATCTGAGTTTGTAAGTGATATCTCTGTGAGTTAATTAATGTGGTCATTCCAATTTAGGATATTTTTTCTTTGAAATAATGTCAGGAAACTGGCATTATAGTTGAATTTTTTTTTTTTATTTTTAATACAAACTTCTATTTATGTTTTTCTAATATCTGAAATTTATCTGTACTTGTATTCTTCCCATAAATAGTAGAAGAGAATGTCCTGCATTCTCCCTTGCCTGACATCTCCCATGATAATAGCATCTGGAATTTTAGTTACAGATTTTTTTAAAATTGTGCATTAGGTGAAAGTTGATAGAGCAGATTAGTTTCCCATTTGATAGTTTGTGCAGAAAGTGTTTCATGACCTTGGTTTCATTCCCCACAACGTGCTGGCACTCTCCCTGTTTCCACCCCTGGTTCCCTGGTTCCTTTCATCCTCAATTTTCTACCCGTTCCTGCCATCTCATCTTTGCTTTGGGGCAGATATTACTCTGTTGATCTCATGTAATTGATTATTCTAAGGAGTATGTTCCTTGCAAGTGTTATTGTTTATCTCATGTGCCTGTCCATCATTTGGCTTGGAGGTTGTCCCCAGGAATGGCTTCATTTCCAGGTCAGAAGGGTGTCTCAGGGCCATATTGGGGGTTCCTGCAATCTCTGTCAGACCAGTAAGTTTGGTCTTTTTTGTGAATTTCAATTTTTGTTCTACAAAATCTTTGGTTTTCATCACTCTCCTTTGCTCTAGATGTGAAGAGACCAGTAGTTGTATCTTTGATAGCTGCTTGCAAGCTTTTAAGACCCCAGATGCTACTCACCAAAGTAGGATGCAAAACATTGTCTTTATGAACTGTGTTGTGCCAATTGATGTAAATGTCCCCCGAGTCTATGGTCCTTTGTCTTCCAGCCTAGGAACTGCATCCTGTGAGGTGTTTGGTTATGTCTAAGAGGTTTCCCTGACTTTACTCACTGTGTACTCTATATGAGCCACACCTACAGTCATGTATGTAGAAATAGCCACCACCTATCCTGTATCTGCCGGCGGGCGTATTCCCTTACACCCTCCCAGACTTCTTGATGGATCTGTCTACCTATTTATCCGTTCGTAAGTTATTGCTTGTTAATACTACTGTTGCCTTGATCATGTTTTGCTGACTTCCCCCATATTGTGTATTGCCTTTCCCTTCACTAGTATTAACTTGTGTCCTCCATCTCATTGGTCATTTTCCCTCCCTCCCGCTTCAGTCCCTGGTAACCATCAAAGAATATTTTTCCTTTTCTTTTTTGTTCCTGTGTGTAAACTCTTTGTTGTTGCTTTATAATAGTGGTCTCAAACAGTATTTGTTCATTTTTAATTGACTTACTTCACTCAACATGTTGTGTTGTTGTTAGATGCCGTTGAGTCAGTTCCAACACATAGCAACCCCATGTACAACAGAACGAAACACTGCCCAGTCCTGTGCCATCCTCACAGTTGTTGCTGTTCGAGCCCATTGTTGCAGCCACTGTGTTAATTCATGTCTTAGCCGGTATTCTTCTTGTTCACTGACCCTCTACTTTACCAAGCATGATGTCCTTCTCCAGGGACTGGTCCCTGCTAATAACATGTCCAAAATCTGTGAGACAACGTTTTGCCATCCTTGCTTCCAAGCAGCACTCTGACTTGTTCGTTCGTCTCACTACCCATGATACATTCAAAATTCTTTGCCAACACCATAATTCAGAGACATCAGTTCTTCTTCAGTCTTCCTTATTCATTGTCCAGCTTTTGCATGCATATGAGACGATTGAAAATACCATGGCTTGGGTCAGGTGCACCTTAGTCCTCAAAGTGACATCTTTGCTTTTTAACACTTTAAAGAGGTCTT